TATTGTTCTTGAAATGTACGACTGGTTTCAGTCCTTCTAATTTCTGCATTCTTGATTGCATCTCTTCTTGTCACACCGACAGCTCTCCTAAGACATCTCATCTCTCTTGTTACAATCTTCGTCTTGGTAGTTGTAGTAAGGGTCCATGTTTGGCACTGGTAGTACAATGTCGGCCTAAAAACTGTTCTTATGAGATTTCCTTTGGTTATCATTAAATTTTCGTCCTTCTTAGGACGTTATTTTTTGTTGTTTGAAGCCCCACTCTGGCTTTTGCCAGGGGCCGCAATATAGGCAGGTCATCATTATGGCCAAATGTCTGAACGCGGTTTCTGGAACCTCTCCACAGTGATCCTCATCCGCATGGTGGCACTTTGTGTCATCGGGTGTTTATCGCTTGTGTGATGTCCTGGTGGGGTAAAAAATCCAATCCAATCCTTCCTTTGGTTGACAGAGGTATCTTTCAATGCGCCAGAAGCGGTGTTAATTGTCCCATAACCTGATTCGCTTTCGCACATTGTATGTTGATTTCTGTATCCATTCTTCCGTCTGAGGTGATAAATGACTCTAGATATTTAAATTCGCACGTTTGTTTCTGTGTTATTTACTTTTATTGATATGGGTTTTTCTTGTCTACCTAGCACTGTCTGTCTTATAAATACTTATATTATATATATCACACTTAGTGTTGACTTCGTTTATGTGGTTTTGTAAACTCGCTTCTGTTTCAGCTAATAATACTTGGTTATCCGCTTATAACAATTCTGAGATATAATCTTTTTTTTTTTTTTTTAATAAACAAAAAGCAGGGGAGATAACACACATCTCTGTCTTACTCCGGAATTTACTTTTTAAAGGTCGCGATGTGCCAGCTTTGGTTCTTATGCAACATTTACTTGATCTATATAAGCTCTTACAAACTTCAGTTTGGTGTTTGATGATTACATATCTTCTTAAGCAATTCCACAACATATTCCTATCTACTCTGTCAAATGCTTTTTTCTGATCTATAAATGCGGCTTTGTATGTCTTATCATACTCTATTGCTCTTTCTGTCAACTTTATTATACAATATAACCCTTTACAGGATAAAATTTTTTGTCATTTGAAGCCCCACCCTGGCTTTTGCCAGGGGCCGCAATATAGGCAGGCCATAAATATGGTCAATTGTCTGAACGCGGTTTCTGGGACCTCTTCGCGGTGATCCTCATCCACATGGTGGCAGTTTGTGTCATCGGGTGTTTATCGCTTGTGTGATGTCCTGGTGGGGTAGAAATTCAGTCAGTCAACTGTGTAACTTCCGACTTTCGCCTGTGCAGATTCTGTTACGTCTGAACCCATTTGGGCTTCTGAAAGTTGTTCTTATACTAATGGTCTTAATTTTATATATATATATATATATATATATATATATATATATATATATATATATATATATATATATATATATATATATATAAAGATTGTAATGAAGACCACTAGTAAAAAGAGCAACTTTCAGAAAATATATATATATATCAATTTCATAATTCCCCGGGGGGGGGGGGGAATGGAAAAGCGGTAGGGGAGTCACACGAGAGTGGCACCGTGGTAGAGACTTTTGTCCCAACACGTAATATTCCCAAAGACAACAGGAGTACACTGTAGCTAACGCTTTTGAGGTATTTTAGAACACCGATAGATGACAAGGACCTTCTGTGACTCATACTTAGGGATTTTTGAGAGGATCTGGACAGATGACACGAAGATGTCCCGCCCTCGCATGTCTCATTTTTTTTAGCCTTCTTCTTCTTCTTCTTCTTACTTTCTTCTTCTTCTTCTTCTTCTTCTTTCTTCTCTTATTCTTCTTCCTTCTTCTTCTTCTTCTGCTATCTGCTATCTTCTTCTTCTTCTTCATTCTTCTTCTTCCTTCTTCTTATCTTTTTCTTCTTCTTCTTTTCTCTTATTCTTCTCTCTTCTTACTTCTTCTTCTTCTTCTTTTCCCATTCTTCTTCTTCTTTCTTCTTCTTCTTTACTTATTTTCTTCTTCTTCTTCTCCTTCTTTTTTTTTTTTTGTTCTCTTTTCATTTCTTCGTTTGTCTTCTTTCTTGTTTTTTTTTGTTCTATCTTCTTCCTTCTTCTTCTTCTTCTTCTTCTTCTTCTTCTTCTTATCTTCTTTCTTCTTCTTCTTCTTCTTCTTCTTCTTCTTTCTTCTTCTTCAAGAAGAACAAGAAGAACAAGAAGAAGAAGAAGAAGAACAAGAAGAAGAAGAAGAAGAAAAGGTGGAGAAACAGAAAAACCAGAAGAACAAAATGTATAGTGTACACACCAGTTGAGTGGTCGTAGGCCAAGAAGCCGATGAAGAAGAGAGCGGAGAGATACTATCTAGGCAAATACACTCATAAATAGAAAGAGAAGCCCAACCACAGAGATGAATTTTAGCGGATGATATCTAAGGCAATGAACGTCAAGGGCAACAGAAGATATGCAGTACCCCATTTATTTCCAATGAGAACAGGGCAGGATGCATGTACCAGTTTCTTGTCAACGTCTCCATTTCTTTTCAAGTTGTACCACAAAATTGCACTGCCCTGCAAAAACAGGTAAAAGCAAAATAAGTAACGCTGCAAATGTTTTATAATCTGTCACATTTAATAAAAAAGAAAAGTGATTTCTTAAACAGGGACATCTTTTTTTTCAAGAGCTAACTTTGCCCAATCTGTACTGACGTTTTTTTACAGCTGACTACATGGACAATCAGTTGGAGATGATGGAATCCGGTCATTAGATCACGACTGGACACACATTAATCACTTTTTGCAGACTTTCGATAATACGCAGGTAGATCAAAAAGCTCCGGTTTTACAAGGACAGTCATGGTTTAACAAGGATATTTTAGGTTTTACGAAAACATTCCTAGTTGAACGAGGATATTTAAGGTTTTACAAGGACAGTCCTAGTTGAATGAGGATATTTAAGGTTTTACAAGGACAGTCCTAGTTGAATGAGGATACTTAAGGTTTTACAAGGACAGTCATGGTTTAACAAGAATATTTAAGGTTTTACAAGGACAGTCCTAGTTGAACGAGGATATTTAAGGTTTTACAAGGACAGTCCTAGTTGAACGAGGATATTTAAGGTTTTACAAGGACAGTCCTAGTTGAATGAGGATATTTAAGGTTTTACAAGGACAGTCATGGTTTAACAAGGATATTTAAGGTTTTACAAGGACAGTCCCAGTTTCACCCAGGATGGTCTCTGTTGGTTTTTTAACTGACAAATTACCCAAACTAAGATATGTTTAAATTACCTTTTTTTTTTGTTGAGAAAACGCTGGTCTGCCGATCGGAAGATCGTGGGTTTGAATCCAGATGGTACTGGCCTTCTTTGCAAAAATGACCTTGGCTTCCAAGTCGACCCAGCCTTAAACGGGTACCAGGTACAAGTCTTGGGAAGTAAAGGCGACTGGCGTGATGCTGACCACATAATCCACCAAGCACCGATACGTCTATAGAATATAAGTCTAGCCCTATATGCCCTATACACCTGAAGGTCTGGGAAAGAGTCCTTTGTTTTACCTGTTCTGAGTTGGGACATTTTTTACGACAATAGTCTTATGAAGTAAAAATGTGCAATAAAATTTCTTCATAGGATATAATTTATTATTATATTTACAGATGTCAATGTTCTACACGATCAGATAGTGATTTATAAATCAAATCTTCACCCCGTGCCCCGGCCAGCGATGTAGGTGCTCATGTCTTTCCACAGATCTCGGTCCTGAGTATTTTGAATCAACTCCGCTGACAAAAATCCTTCATGCTATCGCTCTGCGTTGTCAAATGTCGCTATCTTATGGTCTGCCTCTGCCTCTTCCCTGTTGATCTTTCCAGTCATCGCCATGTTCTGCAGTGCCTCTCATCTCATCGCATGAACGAAGATCAATGACTCTGTTCCTAATAATTGTACACAGTTTTCTAATTTTATCAGCCATTTCCAGACAGTCGTTGCTGGTCACTTTGTCTGCCCACGGTAACCGCAGCAGCTATCTCACAAACTAAGTGACCAGGGTCCTCCCAGTTTGTATATTCACATTTCAAGAATGACAGTCAGCCAGCAGCATTGCTTCAACATAACAATTCAATCAGTATAATACTAATGACTACAAATATTTCTCGAATTATTCTTCAGCTCCTCGGGATTATTAAAAATGCGGACAAAGGTAGCAAAACAGACTAATTGAATGTCGCAGTACCTGGACACTTGTCAACATGACTGCTCACCTTGATCGGCCTTACGTAGAGATTCAGACGAGGAAACACTGTAGCCCCTCCTGCTTCCGAATCGCTCAGCTATAGGAAGTATACGTAAACACGATGAAAATATTTTTGTTTTGATATATGTATATATAGGCTTTACAGAAAACTACTTTTTAAGCAACAAAGCTACCCCGCACCCCCCCCCCCCCCACCTCCCCCTTTTTTTTCCATGCGTGCGCGTCCTATTGTTTTTTTCTTTTTAAATTATTTCAAGAAATGTGGAAGTCGGGAAGCTCCGACTGGCTGACAAACAAACCACTTTACTTTTGACCCGGGCAGCTTCTGCAGCGTGCTTTGTTCCAAACATATTGGTGTTACATTTCTTCTGGATTAAACAAGGCAGGCCAAAAGGGGTCATGATACATGGTCAACTCCTGGTCTCGATAATACCACTTAGGCTTTGTGTCATGGAGAAGAGAAACTTCATCCCTGGTCTCGGAAACACTTCTTTTGTCGTAAAACTCTTTACAATACGCTCAAGAGATTGAATATCCACCTACCCTACTGAACATTAATGGGTTGATCCACAAAGGTCTAAAAGGCACAATCAGTTTGGACGGTATAACTTCGGAGGAGCTTGTAATTAAAAATGGAGTGAAGCAGGGATATGTAGATGCTCCTATCTTCATTAGAATATACTTCTCCTTTCTGTTGAAGCTTGTATTTGAAGATCAGGAGGGTGGTTGTATATTCTATTCTCGATCCGACTGAAGCCCCTACAGTGATCTAAAGATGAAAGCCAAAACCAGGATAAGGAAGGTACTTACCAGAAAGTTGCTGTTTGCAGATGATGTTGCAATTGCTACCACTCATGGAGGAACTGCAATGTTTACTATCAGCATTTTGTGATTTTGGACTAACAATCAGCAAAAAAGAATACAAAGATGATGCTAATTGTTACTGATAGATCTGCAGTCGACATTGATGGAGACAAGCTATAGACAGGTGATCGGTTTACAGATCTGGGATCTACAATGAATAACAAACTATCACTGCACCAGCAAATCAACGCCAGGTTAGGTAGGGCAGCAAAAACAATGAGCAGATTAACGCAAAGGATTTTTGGTGAACAGAAGGCTCACGAACAAAACAAAAAGTATTGTCGGTCAGCGACACATAGTAAAGATCCCTTTTTACGCCGTTAGGCGCATCGGGCATATGGTAACAACAGGCAGATTTTTTTTTCCAGACCAATCGGCACTAGATGGGTAATGTGGTCAGCATTACGCCGGCCGTCTTTACTTCCCAGGGCATACATCCTGGTACCCATTTTAGGTTGGGTTCACCTGCGACGACCCATACCATGATAAAAAAATTATCCACGCAGCCAGTCGCGTTACGTAGGGATTACGAGTCGGACTCGCAACGCCTAAGCCACGGACGCTGCTTCAGCCACACACACACAGACATAATTAAAGGTTGGGGAGGAGGAAGTAGCCTAAAACACCCCACTGCTACAATGCAATGGGGCCCAACTACCCTGAGCCCCTATGATCTGACGCCCCCTACACCGGATCTTGCAATAAGACGACACCACGACAAAAACACGACAGTTGGCATCAACTGTGTGCACAGGTAAAAAAAAACTGATGTAATGTGACAGACACAAGCACAACACGAGACACAAGAATGCTAGTCACACAGGTAAGCTGCTCACATAAAACATCCATGTCGCTATTCTGTCCCCTGACCCACTCAGCGACGGGCTGTTCTCTTGTCCCATTTCTCGAGCTCTTCTCTGTAGATGTAACATTAGATTATGTGTATTTTCATCTCATTTTAATTTGGCTTATTTTCACTCTCATTCCAGTCTGGCTTATTTTTTATCTCATTCCAGTCTAGCTTATTTTCAGCCCACTCTAGTCTGGCACATTTTTATCTCATTCTAATCTGGCATACTTTATATCTCATTCGAATCTGACTTACATTGACATGATTACAATAATGTTTATTTTCATTCATTCTAACCTGGTTTATTTTCATCTCAATAAAGTCTGGCATAATTTCAACTAGTTCAGATCTGATATATCTTCATCTAATTATAATCTTGCATTTTTTTTCAATCTAATTATAATCTGTGTGTGTGTGTGTATGTGTGTGTGTGTGTGTTTGTTTTTCATCTCACTTTTCCCTGGTTTATTTTCATCTCATTCTAATCTGGCATATTTCATCTAATTTTTATCTGATACATATTCATCTAATTTTTAACTGATACATATTCATCTAATTTTTACCTGATACATATTCATCTAATTCTTATCTTATACATATTCATCTAATTCCTATCTGATACATATTCATCTAATTCCTATCTTATGCATATTCATCTAATTCTTATCTTATACATATACATCTAATTCCTATCTGATACATATTCATCTAATTGTTATCTGATACATATTCATCTAATTGTTATCTGATACATATTCATCTAATTTGTATCTGATTCATATTCATCTAATTCTTATCTGATACATTTTCATCTAATACTTATCTGATACATATTCATCTAATTTTTATCTCATTCATATTCATCTAATTCTTATCTGATACATATTCATCTTATTCCTATCTGATACATATTCATCTAATGTTTATCTGATACATATTCATCTAATTCTTATCTGATTAAGATTCATCTAATGTTTATCTGATACATATTCATCTAATTCAAATCTGGTTTAATTTCAATTCATTGTAATCTGTCTTATTTATTTACATCACTTAAATTTGTAGTTCCCACTTAGTTCAGACGTGCTCATCCCTCTTTTTTTCAAAGGATTCCTGTGTGGGTTCCAGGCCCCATTTTTGGCGTAAACCAGAATAAACCCACTGTCTCCCTAACATAACAAGCATGTCGTAGAAGTCGACTAATTGAGAGTTTCCTTCAAATTCGGCGTGCATCTGCCAGAGCGGCAAGGAACAACCACTTACACACAATTAAGAGAGTAAAACGGATATACACGCAAAACGCAGGCCCTGGCACAAAGCCACAGTGCAAACGGACAAACAACAAGGACTTTCAGTCCGATCTTACAGCAGGTGAACAAAGAAAAAGAAGAGGATTTTCAAAGATCTGTCACGGACTTTATAGTAGTAGTCGTACTGAACAACTTAATATAGACTATAAATATTGGAAGAGGAAAAGTGTTGCATTCTAAGGTTTTTAATGGGAGCAATGATAGCATCAACTCCTTTACTTAGTTTCGCAATGTAGCAACTGTAGAAACACTGATTTATGTCATTCTCGACACTAGAATGCCAAAATCTTTTCTTTGTAGTACTTTCTGAAAGAAAACTACAATATGAGCTAGATGAAGCACAAGCGGGCTTCGAACAGGGAAGAGAAACTACAGATCACATCTTTAATATGAGAATAGATTTTGAACAAAAAGTAGAGAATACAAAGTAGATCTTTATGCTTGTTTTGTTGATTATAGCAAGGCATTTGATTAAGTCCAACATCGGAAATTGTAGAGTATTAAGAGAAGCATGCGGTTTCCAGCGAATTTGGTGCATTTAATTGAAAATGTATATCACGAACAACAAGCAGCTATCAGAGCGGCTGGAGAAACATCGGATTGGTTCCAGGTGCAAAAGAGGGTGAGGCAACGGAGCCTTCTCTAGCCATACCTGTTCAATATATAAGCAGAAAACACAATGAGAAATGTCAAAATGACCAGACTTGTGACAGTTATGAACCGCTCATAATTGGTGGCAAACCTACTCCGGAACTTCGCTATGCAGATGACTCAGTCTTCCTTTCGAGAAATGTAGAGGGAATTGAAAATATAATCATGTTTGACAAAAACACAGTAATGATCAAACCTAGGTTTGAATTTCAAAAAAAAAAGTCGAACTTTTCATCTCTCTGCATATAAAATAAGCAGAAATGATCACAAACCCGAGCCACTGAGTGATGTCACGTGATAGACCAGGTCTCGGTGAGTGAGCACCATTGTAAACATCAAAACAAACACTTGATGGCTCGTTAACCCGTACATTGTACCCCGCTTGAGTCCACTGTACGTGCTCTTGTGTGTAAATTCCACAGAGATCAACTGTCGCACGTGCTGGAGCATCAGCGGAAAAGGAAACACTATCTGTTCACGCAAATTATTGATCAACTGTCTGTTGGGGATTTGTTGATGTTTTGTCAATAGTGCGTTTGTCGTTGCTTGATATTTTCTTGCCTTTTTTAAACCTTGTCGGTTTGACGTGTCCAATCATGTATGACGTGAAGTGATGACAGGTGGTGACTTGGAGACTTATGACGACATTTGACTGGTGGTAATTTGGGGACTAGTGGTGATATCATTATGATTGGACTGGTGACTTATGGTGGTGACATAGTGACATTTGACTAGTGGTGATGTGAAGCGTGGTAACTGATTGACGTGGTGACTGGGGATACTAGTGGTAGTGACTTGGTCAATCGGTGATATCATTTATTGGATGACTAGTGACATTGGTGACCGACGGTGATTTGGTGACTGGTGGTGATTTGGAAAATGGTGGTGATTTGAACATAGTGACTCGGGTGGTGACTTGAAAACGGGTGGTGTTTGGAACTGGTAGTGATGAGATTGTGACGAGTTAGTGGTGATTTGTGAATTTGGGAACTGGTGGTGCTGGTGGTGATGGGACGATGGCAACGGGTGGTGGAGACTGGTGGTGATGGGAAACTTGCAACGGGTGGTGATTTGAGAACTGGTGGTGATTTGGGAACTGGTGGTGAGGAACTGCGAACTGGTGGTTATTTGCAGATGGTGAATTTGGGTGGTGGTTATTTGCGAACGAACTGATTGTGAACTGGTGGTTTAAGAAGTGGTGATTTGGGAATTTGGGAACTGGTGATTGAAGTCATTGGTGGTGGTTATTTGTAAACTGGTTTTGATTCAGTGACTGGTGGTGATTTAGGAACTGGTGGTGACTTGGGAACTGGTGGTGGAAATTTGGTGAATTTAAGGAACTGGTGTGAGTTGAACTGGTGGTAGAACTGGTGGTGGGAACTTGATTAGGAAACTGGTGGTGATTTAAAAGTTGGTGGTAATTTGGGAATGACTTGGAACTGGTGGTGATGGTGGGGAACTGGTGGTAATTTGAGAACTGGTGGTGATTTGAGATTTTGTGGTGATATTGGGAACTGGTGGTGATTGGGGAACTGGTGGTGATTTGAGAACTGGTGGTGATTTGAGAACTGGTGGTGATTTGGGAACTGGTGGTGATTTGGGAACTGGTGGTGATTTAAGAACTGGTGGTGATTTGGGAACTGGTGTGATTTGGGAAGATTTGGTGGTGATTTGAGAACTGGTGGTGATTTGAGAACTGGTGGTAATTTGAGAACTGGTGGTGATTTGAGATTTGGTGGTGACTTGGGAACTGGTGGTGATTTGAGATTTGGTGGTGATTTGAGATTTGGTGGTGACTTGGGAACTGGTGGTCACATAGTGAATGGGGTTAAGATGAAATGAATGGTGACAACTAGTTGATGACTCTAGTTGATGACTCGTCAACAAAAGGTCAAGGCTCACACAGACATTCCCAGAATGCTCACGATCTCTCCAAACAACAACGAAATATATCTAGCCTGTCTCATTTAGACGGTCGCGCCCTATAATCCTGGCCAGAGCTAAAAGATTGATGGCACACAGAAAGAACACAATCTTCTGCTCCTGCATGTCCTTATCTCGGCCGGCGTGATGTTGACCATATTCCCCACAGAGTGCTGATTGTCCTGTAAAATAGAGATCCAGCCCTATATGCCCAATACGCATAAAGGCGTGGATAAGTGCCCTTTTGTCCTTATTTAATAAAATTAGTAGAAGCGAGACCTTTAACTGGCTCTTGCCAAGTACTCCCAATCTGGATCATCTTTGATAATTCCTTCTATGACTCTCTACATCATTCGTTCGTTTCTGTTTCTCCTACTATTTCCTCCTCATACCTTCCTCAGGACGAGCAATGAGGATTTTCACATAAATATTAAAAGCTGTGTATCTATTAGGGTCACACGAATGAATAGATACACGTATATAAAAGGAAGAAGATGGAAACAAGAAAATAACAAAGATAATACCAGTGTTCTTCATCTGCGCCATCTGGGTGAAGTTTCGACATGACAACCTTCAGGACAAGTCACAATAGCTTCGTCTACTTCCTCAAAAGCCAGCAAAGAGTCTAACACTGGTGGTGCTTGTTTTCACTGCTTAACTACTCGTCTTGTCTTCTCTTCGAGTCTTGAGTGATGCATAGAGCTCACAGGTACTGCCTAATTATACAAATACTAAAATATAAAACCACATACAAATGTGATCTTGCCGTTCCCAAGTGAGTAGAAATGAACTGGCTCCTTCAAAACGTCTGTCGCGTTTTCTCAAGTAGGGGGAGGGGGACGCTAAATGTAATTTTTTTTTCAAACTACTATACAAGGGACAGACAAAGGGACAGACAAATGGACAGACAAATGGACAGACAGATGGACAGGCAGAGGGACAGACAAATGGACAGACGAGAATTCTTACTACAGAGTCTTCGTGTGGGACATACAGACCACCCAGTCCATAGTTGACGATCTGAAAGGGTTCTGCAGGTGTGTCCAGTGGCAGCTGACTAGTGTCCAGCCCGGTGATCTGCCCCACACGTGCTGATAATCGACGTATTGTGACCGTGTTGTCTGGCAGCCAGGCTCTTGAAAAGACAAATAAGCGATCACATAATATAAAATCAGGTCCACGTCTGCAACATGTGCAGCTGCACAGGGTCACATTTTTTGGGAAGGTAAAATTGTAAGCGGTAACATATAACTTAGTTTTTAAAATGGCCTTATTTGTATTGCTATTTCCATTATGGATGTTTAGTTATCTATTGCACATCATTGCTCAGTTAGGATTTTAACTTTTTAATTTCTTTGATATGTTGTTTATTCAGGGTTAAATATTTCAAAACAGTTTAAAGAGGAAGTTAATAATACCTCAACTTTTTGTTGGTTGTCTGTAAACTAATAGCGATACTGAAATGTATGTATGGGGGGGGGGGGGGGGGGGGGGGGAACTTCATAAGGGGTATTGTACATCCTAAATACAGTTCTGCATATAATTTGTATATACCGGTGCTAAGTGGCTCTTTAGCCATATTTAAACGTTCTCCTTTCAGGTATTTTTGATAATTTTATATTATTTCAAACAAACTGTTATTGTTTTTACTTTTCAGCGTATTTTTATTGTTATTACTGCACACTTAATCAAGGCGGAATTCCCTTAAACCCTCACAGTTAGAAAAGTACGTGTTGTCTTCGTGTTGGTGCAACTGACTCCAAAGATTCTACAGCACTATATGCCTCGCCTAGTTTGAAAACTCTGTGATTCATGCATTTGTAGGTGGCATCTTCTTGTATCCTTGTCTACCCCTTACTCACTTTCATTCAGTGTTTCTCTACATGATAATTACTGTGACAAACAAAGTGTGTATGATTCAATGACTCACGTTTGACTGACCCTCAGTAGATGTGTCCTGTTGCTTGTTCTCTGGTTCTGGTGCAGCGCAGACGGCGTCAACTGCAGATAAAAGCAACGGATGTTTGTTAAATTCAGTTATGCAAACAGAAAGATAGCGTTCTTATTTGAAGTTATCGTAGTAATCACGTGACTGATTTTAAATTTCACGCGGTTAGATGTACAGCAGCTCGAAGGTGTGGTTTATGTACTTCAGCAAGAAATGGATTCATTTTGTGCTTCGTTAAATGTTGATTTAACTCTGTAGTAATGCACCTGACGAGATACAACGAAATATGACTGGCAATAAATTGTGCAATGTATTGTTTGTGTCCCTATTACTTAAATTGTGAACGGGAAAACATTGTTTTGAATTTGAAATTTAGTTAAATCGAGAAAGAACTGCTAATGTGAAGTAAGCAAGTAAATATTTAAGCAAAGGTTCTACTTTAGTCAAGATATGTGTCTGCCTCTTATTTTCGAAGTGAGTGAACGAGTTATCTCCAACTTTACCAGGACCGCAAAAGGAACGACCAACAGCTGTGACACAAAGTGCCACCATTCGGATGAGATTCCCACATGCACAATTCCCAGAAACCCCGTTCAACCGTTGGGTTATACTAAGGCCACCAACGACAGAATTGAGTTTCATATTGGGACAAAAGAGATATTCCTGTAAGCTCTGCCAAAGATCGCGTACACTTTAGAATTATGAAAAATTGATTATAATTTTTAAATGTTGTATATATATATATATATATATATATATATATATATATATATATATATATATATATATATATGTGTGTGTGTGTGTGTGTGTGTGTGTGAGTGTGTTTGAGTGTGTGTGTGTGGGAAGTGTGTGTGGGGGGGAGTGTGTGTGTGTGAGACTAGTTCCCACCATTTGTGTGGGAGTATGTGTGTGTGAGACTCTATGTGGGTGTGGGAGTGTGTGTGGGAGTGTGTATGTGTGTGTGAGACTGTGTGTGGAAGTGTGAGTGTATGTGTGTTTGGGAGTGTGTGTGTTTGTGTGTGTGTGAGACTGTGTGTGTGCGAGTGTGTGTGCGAGTGTGTGTGTAAGTGTGTGTGTGAGACTATGTGAGTGTGTGTGTGTGAGACTGTGTGTGTGTGAGTGTGTGTGTGTGTGGAAGTGTGTGTGTGAGACTGTGTGTGCGTGTGTGTAAGTGTGTGTGTGTGAGTGTGTGTGTGTGAGAGACCGTGTGTGTCTTACTGCTAAAACTGTCCCTTTCTGCATTTACCACTTTGTGGTATCGGCGGGGGATTATTTAGTCTCAAAATTTAGGACTGCATGACAAGTGCTGTCGCCACGAACTGTACAGCTCAAGACTTCTGGCGCCCGACAAACAAACAAAATCCAAGACCTTACTGATGATTCGAATCTGGGTCTTCCGTATGAAAGTTTCTATGATATCGCCTACCACTAGAATATGGCCTGCAGCCTAATTATGGTATGCTTTTGGTGAGGTCAGTAAGGAAGGTAATCAAAAGTAATGTTGTAACCTTTTTTTTTAAAGAGTTTACCAAGGAGCGGTGGAGTGACACTTAGTAAAAGAATGAAATCTCTCAACTTACTTTCGTCCAAGCCTCGTCTGTCATGTGATCAATCTCACTCTGCGATATGACGTCATAAAACCGGATCAGGGGAGGAGACTGATGAATGAGCTCAGCTTTGTACCGAAAGTAGCCAGCGATGGTTCTCCAGAAACAGTTCAACGAGTGGCCCGGAGACGCTGCTGATCTCACCTGGACGGAGTCACGACATAGCCTTACATAGGCTGCCTGAATGCCGTCTGATGGACCTCTCTGATCTGTATAGGACAGAAACATGACGTAATCTTACCAGGGGATTCAATTCTTAGAAAGGTATTGTCCTATCTGAGAATGTCACTCCATCAAAGTCTAGATCTGCAATTATCTATGATTATATATTTATCAAATAAATATGACCCATCATTGTATACATATCAGATGAGCATGGCCCATCATTTTATGCCTATCAAATGAACGTGATGGCTTCCCTTTGTTTACCAGACCCCTACAAGAGATTAATTCTATAAAAGCATCTTATGATTAACTTTAAATTTGTCTTTATTTAGTTTTACCAGGGCAGCGATAAATTACGACCTGCTCCTTGAAATATGAGAGCACCTCCAGTAGCTGACACTCTAAAAGCTCGAAACGTCAGAGATTGCTCATGTTTTCTGCAAGTAACCTCAGATTATCTCTGTGGTGACATTCGTGTTCTCGGTTCAAGGTCGATTTTTCAATTTGTGCTTCTTAAAATGCACACTATAAATTGTCCTTAGTAACCACAATCAACAAAATACTTGCAAACAGGAGCTGTCAAAATACGGCTGTCCTTCGTCACCACAATCAACAAAATATTTGCAAATATGAGCCATCAAAATACGGTTTTCCTAAGTAATCAAGGTTTTAAAAAATAAGTTGAGACATGAGGTATCAAAACACGAGTTCCTAGTGTGTACTCTAAAATTTGATTGTAATGCTGGGGAAACTGCGAGAAGATGGGATTTGGTTTACAAAAGAACGTTGAGTACATCATGGACAGAGAAGAAAACAGATGATGTTTACTGATTGAGTATATCATGGAGAAAACAGATGATGTGTACCGATTGAATACATCATGGAGAAAATAGATGATGTGTACCGATTGAATACATCATGGACAGAGAAGAAAACAGATGATGTGTACCGATTGAATACATCATGGAGAAAACCGATTATGTGTACCGACGTTGTGTGTGTCACATGATCTCTCATCAAATCGTTGCAGATGCGAGAAATGAAAGTGTTAATGCATACACAGTCAAAGGAAAACACTGACACCTGTCAGAAGATAATCCAACAATCAAACAACAACGTAAGATAATGTCACTGAATAGTCATTATCACGAGAAAGTAAAATCAATAGCAAGACGAACTGCTCCAGGTCGGTTATCAGAATCATCTTCTGGTCATCTGATAATCTCAGTTTCAGCTTTATAGCGTCACACTTTTGTGCCAGGAAAAAACACATAAAATGTCAATTACTTTCCCTCGTGGGAAAACTGACAGTCTGCAATCTCAGCATGTCCACTAGCATATGCATGCATTGAAACCATAAGGCAACCATTAGAAGTGCTAACACAAACATTCCGACATTAGAATTGCAGTTCATCATCGACGGAAGCAGCTGTTACAAAGAGAACAGCAGTTGCACATTTAATAACATAAGGAGCAATCAATTTTGAATCTACAGTTCATAACACCACGTTGCTCTCAGTCGAAAATCATTCAAAATGAAATCTGCAGCTCACATTGTCCCTCCATGCATTCAGTTTGGTAGCTGCGCGACAAAACTATATCATTTCAGTCTACACATGGAGGAAAATGCAATCGCCACCGTCTGTCAGAAGCACAAATATGCCTTCGCTAAAGACATTGACCGTGTCTATCGTCGATTTTGGCTGAAAGCACACACACAAATCTCCACCGTCAATATCATCAATATCAGTTCGTGTCATTATATGTAAGAAAGAGACTTGCAGTTTATTCATCCATTCCGTTTTACCCTAATGTGCAATTCCTTCGATTTTATGGATGTGATCCGGCCCAGCATCTTTGGCTTCTCTCATCAACGTTCACCTTAAGGTTTCTTTTAGACATCCTTGTTTCTACTTGATGAGTCTTTGTTTTATTTTGTCAGGTTGTGCCCTGTATAGCGCCATCTTTATTGTCTCATATCTGTTAATAATAAGAGTTGCCCAGACATTTTTCTTATTTCTTCACCCTTGTTGAAATCAACCAATTTAATGTTCGCAACTTTCCTGAGGCATTTTATTTTCAAATGCTCTTTACTTTCGTTCCAAGTCTTTAGTGGTTCTTCAACTTTAACTGCCATATCTTAAAACTGAAATGATGTTAAATAGAAAATAATATTTTTTAATAATTTAAAGTTCCAGAAGAAAAACAAATTATTATTCAACAAGACACAAACGAACATTCACAATACTTACCCAACATACCAAGACACGCACGAACGTTGACACTACTTACTCAACATACCAAGTCACGCAAGAACATTCGCAATACTTACCCAACATACCAAGACACACACGAACATTCACAATACTTACCCAACATACCAAGAAAGACAAGAACATTGACACTACTTACCCAACATACCAAGACAGACAAGAGCATTGACACTACTTACCCAACATACCAAGACACAGACGAACATTCACACTACTTACCCAGCATACCAAGTCACATACGAACATTGACACTACTTACCCAACATACCAAGTCACACAAGAACATTTCACAATACTTACCCAACATACCAAGTCATGCACGAACATTGACACTACCTACCCAAGAAAACAGAGGTATTTGAGGAAGCTGCTAATAACTTCTTGATTGTCTCCAATTGATCCAATATTCTTTTATGTGGGTAGCCATTTATTTCAATGAAAGTGTCAACGATCCCGAACCATCGTTTTGCCTCGGTATACATCCTGTACTTGTGGGCAACCCGAGTGATGAACAAGTAATCCTCGCTGGACAATGTCCAGTATTTACACCCACAACACTGACCCGTTCTTTTCAGTATCTTTCCGCGTTTCCGAAATGTCAGATTTTGAATTATTATAAAGCCTTCTTTGGTGAAGCAGCGACAGAAATTGGTCATGTGTGAGCATCGTGTATTTAGATTGAATTATCTGTTTGGAGCAGTCAGTACTGGTCAAGCGGTCAAGCCAGGATGGAGATGGAAACAGGTCATAGATTTGACCAATTGTGAGCAAACCAAGAGCGGCGCCAGTAACGTCAATCTTCTGGGGCCAGTTTTGCCATTTGGAGAGAACATCGAACATGGCGATAATGTTTTCTGTAACCGAAGAAATAGCCACGTTACAAAATCGGATGACTTTATAAATTATAAATGAGAACATCGAGCATGGCAAGAATGTTATATCTAACCAGGAAACATTTAGACTTTACATCTGTTATCTTTATACATTATACGTATGAATGTGCTTTTGTGTCCAATAACTCCTATAGCTTTCCTGTCGTCATCGAGTGAGTAAGGAAACAGAGATTTTATTGTATCAGGTTCAAGCGTGGCTGTGTGCCATCTATTCCATCCAGACTATTACCCGGACAGTTTGACATCCTAAAATAAGATTTTAATCTGGATGGCAGACCAAGACCATCAAAGGGTTTGAAGCAGTGAACGAACGAAGGAACGAACATTATGTTCAAAGAGTGACAAATTGGACACGCAGGACTGTCTTACATTCGCCCTTTCAAACACTCGCTTTTCATAACACTTATTTTTTCACATCAAAACAGAGTATTCTTTTCTTCTTCTTCTTCTTGATGTGAATTCCGGCGGTAAGCACACTTCAAAACTTTTGGCTTTTAGTACCTGAAAGTAAATTTTACAAAATATACAAGATGTAAATTAAGAGACGCGAATTGACGTAACTAAAGAATCCTAATGCTGGTGGCAGAACAACAGGACAAGTTGCACAACAGGTGGATTATAAAGTATTGTTGGTGTCACAGGATTTAAAATCAAAGAAAGTTACCAGTAAGTCTGCGACAGTTGCTGGATGAGCTTTTGGAAACTAATCGATTTACGAGATTCCACTCCCGTACAAGGCGTCTGAGATACGTGAATCCAACTACGGGATTACTGCAACTTTGTTGGCGATGTTTTGACGATGGCGTTTTTCTGTTTGATGCAAGACAAATGTCTGGTAGAAGACAAACAAATTAATCAGTGGTTAAAGTGATGTCTTTGTGAATGCCTGCTTCTTTCTTCTTCGCGTTCACCGGTTGTAAACTCGGGCGGAAAATTCTGTTTGTTCAGTTACTTTTGAAATTTATACTTGTTGGAGAACTTGAGTGTTGCATGTACATCCGTTTTTACAGATCTGACTTATTTGTGTGCAGACTGTTGGTTTCTTGCCTCTCAGGCAGATGCACTCCGACTTCGAAGGAAGCCCCAATTAGTCGACTCTTACGACATGCTTGTTGGAAAAGCAGTGGGTCTATTTTTGTTTTCCCTACAATAGGGCCCTGGAACCCACCAGGGGACTGATAAATGTGTTTCCCTGTATTATGGAAGACAAATGTTTTCAGGTAGATGACAAACAAGTTAAAAAATAAATAAAGAATACTTAGGTAGATCATAGTTTACCAAAGCTATGTACAAAGGACTGAATTATCGAACGAACAAACGAACGAACTTTTTTCGGAAAGACAAACAGGTGGACGGACAAGTAAAGGATTTTCTGCCACGTCATCAGACGTATTGGGCACATAAGGGTTATACCTATATTTTATAGACCAATCGTCACTCGGTTTGTGATATAGTTAACTTTACCCGCTAGCCATGTTAGGCTGTGTCAACCTGGGATCCAAGATCATTTTTGAAAACAAGTCCGGCTCCACCAGAACCCCAACCGATGATCTTGGCAATCTACAAGCAGGTCCGAATCCGTAGTCTGGCCTCTACACCACACTGACTCTCAGGTGGATAGACAGGATATACGAAATTATGTTGAAAACAGAAGTGATTGTGGTCGAAAAGGTATCAGAATATTTGTCTTTGTCTTCGTCATGTTATCCAGAAATTAGGAACTGGGACACATTGAGACCCCACCCCCCACCCCCCCCCCCCCCACCCCCACCCCAACACCACCTTTATTTTCTTGAGAAACGTGTTTTAGGAGCTTTTCCCTCCCTCCCCCCCCCCCCCCCCCACCCTCGGTTTATAAGAGGGTCTGAATTATTTCCCATCCATATCAAGTCTCTTTTTCAGTTTTTGAATATACATGTTATATTATTGAAATAGACAGATGGGGAGCTCAGATACTGACGAAACCAGACATTAAAAAAAAATGATCTTAGCTCCCTGATTGACCCAGAATTAAATTGGCACCAGGTAAAGTCATGTGAAGTAAAGGCAGTCGGCGTGATGCTGACCATATCACCCACCGAGTGTCAGTCAGTTGGTCTATAAATTTAGGACTAGCCGAAGCCGGGGAACAACAATTCATTCATTAATTCATGCATTAGTTATTCTGTTGTGATATTGTATTTCCCAGCCATATTTACTTTGTGTCACCACTAGCTCTCCCCCCCCCCCCCCATCCCCCTCCATCCCCCTCCCAAACTAACTCCTGGCCTTAGTGATGATTTGAGAACTTCGAACACAACGTTTTGTAACTTTGGGCGGCTCCGTGAAGATTAGCACCTTTGACGATGATGTCGGCACGGCACGGCAGGGTGCAGTCCAGTGCGCTAGGCTTGACCAAGACACAGTACCAGTGTAAATTATTGCTTAGAGAACATGACTCGTTTAAAGATTAACTAAAACAGCTTGGTAGTGGGTGGAAAAAACCAGCATAGAGACTCTGGGTGATTTATTTGAGGTTGCTTTTTTTGGGGGGGGGGGGGGGGGGGTTGTGTGTGGGGTGTGGGTGGAGGAGGGGGGGGGGGGCAGGAGACCCTCTGTGGCGAAGTAGTCCAGCTGTTTGTCTCGCGCTCTAAATGAAAATCGTGGATTCGCTTCACGGACGCGTCAATCAATTTAAGAGAGCGATGTTTAAGGTGATCTGTGTGGATCGTGGCTGGAGCTACAGAGTTCATGCTTGACACATTGATTTCCGCAAGAGTCCGGCTGTTCTACGGAGAGTAAGCGAATCATGTTGGGTAACACTCAGTGCAGTGAAGTCGATTCTCTGGACCTTTAACGTTCTTATTCCAGGGTATGCGCGCCACCCACCCCCCCCCCCCCTCACCACCCCCATGACGTTAGACTGTCGGTGAAATAACCACTGATCGATTTTACAAATAAATGTTCACAATTGGTTGTTTGTTTTTCAAAGAATGGACGACACAAATCTAATTAAAACTGGGGTGTCAATGGCCGTGTGTCGATTATGTGGCTGGATGCGGTCATTCACCACTGGCTGTCATGAGAGGAAGCTGTTCACAAAGATAGTTCGGCAGTTAGTCAGTCAGACTGTATGCGTGACTGGCTGAGACACAAACAAGGTTGCCTACAGAATGACAGGGAAACAGTCAGGTGACTGTGTGTCTGTCTCTTTCCAGTCTCGCGTGCTCTCTCTCGCGCTCTCTCTCTCTCTCTCTCTCTCTTCTCTCTCTCTCTCTCTATATATATATATATATATATGTGTGTGTGTGTGTGTGTGTGTGTGTGCGTGTGTGTGTGTGTGTGTGTGTGTGTGTGTGTGTGTGTGTGTGGGTGGATGTACAAGCATGTCTGTCAACCATATCTACAATTGACGGCGTCAGAAACGTGAGTTCTTACCTTTGCATGTCATCAACGAGTTTGCCGCTCTCTCCATTTTGCCCGGACACATAAAGTATTTTCTCCATGTGGTCAATGACCTTGTTCTCCAAACTACTCAAGGCCATGACCCGTGCCACTGATGTAAACACTTCGGCATGAGTCCAGAAAGTTTGTAAAACAACAATTACATGAATGATTTCTAGGACACGTCCCGACATTATAAACCGCATCCAATCATTGTTTTCAACATATGTTGCAAAATAATAAACACACAGATTCAAACTACATATTCTTTGAAAGCAGTTGATAAAGTGTCTTCTCTCTGTGATCGTCATTTAGAAGTGACCGCAAACTCAAAGTATAGTCTGCGAGGCCGGACGTTCCAGACAGCCATTTTTTTTCCTGAAAAAAAAAAAAACCTGTGGCAATAGACGCAGATGTCCTTCCTTTTACTTTACACATAATATAAGTCATACATTTTCAAGTTCTGAAAGCAACTCAAACTTGGATATTATCAAAGGCTAACCTACGTAAAATAACCGCCTGTGAAATGAGATGCCTGAGAAAAGCCGCCATCTTAACCATCGGAGACAAAGTTAGAAATGATATTATCAGAAGACTTTGGGAACCAAACTAAGCAGCAAATTCACTGAGAAACAGAAGATCAAATGGTTTAGTCATCTAGTAAGAATGCAACAAGAACAGCTGTCATCGCAGGTGCTACAAGTGAAAACATCTGATGTGACAGCAAGAGGTCACCCTAAGAGAACACGTACTGATGACATTAAAGAGCTTGTACATCGACACGGAAGGACAATAGCCATTGCTATTATCAAACATTGTATCGCAAACCTCACGCCAATAAACGGCTGTAGTGGTAATTGACGATGATGATGGTAACTCAAAAGTGTTTAAAGACGAGAAGGTGAAGGTGGACTTAATTTTATCGGGGTTTCTCCAAACCGATGTGGTCTCTCGCTGGAGTGGGATGTCGCATGACGGTAACGTTGCACAATGCACGTTCTTTTTAGTTCTAACTTGAACCATCAAACATTTCCAAAAATATTGCTCTCACAAACTAAGTGAAGACGATACGACAGCGAACTCACCACATTCAGATAGAGGCGGTAAACGTATGTACCAATTAGCTACCAAACATCACAGTAAACACTCAAAGAAGTTGTTCATATGTTAGATCATCGAGTTCATTGAACCTGTCTTTACCCCACACGGTTCGGTCTCTGTCCACATAGTGGCTATTGGCTGGCTAAGTATGTCGCACAAACTGGAATCTTCCTAGCTCCAGCGACACATCGAAAGATCACCGAATTATCCGCGTTTGGGAACCGAAGAGTTCAAACTCAAACCCACAACTTTATAACCCATTCAATGTAGATTTTTTATTTGTTTATTTGAAGTTATATATAATAAAGGATGGACTTTTTCACCACAGACGTACCGGGCATACATTGCTTTTTCTTCTTTTTCTTCTTCTTCTTCTTCTTCTTCTTCTTCTTCTTCTTCTTCTTCTTCTTCTTCTTCTTCTTCTTCTTCTTCTTCTTCTTCTTCTTCTTCTTCTTCTTCCTCTTCTTCTTCCCCTTCTTCTCTTCTTCTCTTCTTCTTTCTTCTTCTTCTTCTTCTTTCTTGTCTTCTTCTTCTTCTTGCTTCTTCTTTCTTCTTCTTAATGCTTCTCTTCTTCTTCTTCTTCTTCTTCTTCTTCTTCTTCTTCTTCTTCTTCTGTCTTCTTCTTCTTCTTCTTCTTCTCTTCTTCTTTGTCTTCTTCTTTTTCTTCTTCTTTCTTCTTCTTCTTCTTCTTCTTCTTCTTCTTCTTCTTCTTCTTCTTCTTCTTCTTCTTCTTCTTCTTCTTCTTCTTCTTCTTCTTCTTCTTCTTCTTCTCTAGTTCCGTTCGGCCTTTCAATGTCAGGTTTTGAAGAGACATCCGGTGTGAGAATTAGTGTTTGCTACGTAGATGCTTATATTTAATGCCTCGGATATTTCCTCACTGGATCGCCTGCATCAGCGACCTCTAGATCTGCTTCTGTTATGTCTAATTGACATTCTAACTGACAGGATTCGCTGTGGGGCATTGTCTCCTGTTAGTCTTGACACATGTCCGAACCATTTGATCTGTTGTCAATTAGTGTCGTTTAATAATGGTTCCGTTCCAAACTTTGTTTCCTGATATCGTCATTTCTGATCCTTTCTCTTGTAGCTACATTTAGGATACGCCACAAACATTTTATTTCTATTGTATCGATGGTTCTCTTGCCTGCTCCTAGTATCATCGACTAAGAACATTATGTTTTTCGTTGTTGGTTTTCTACGCTTATCTTGATAAGTTGTTCTGTTCTCGCAGTTGTCACGGCTTATGTTTTTTTTTTGTTTTTTTTTGTTAATTTTTACGTTTTGTGCTTTTGATTCAAATGATGCCAAATTCATATTTTTATAGACCTATCCTCATTCCGTGGGTGTTGTGGTCCACATCACACTGGCCGCCTTTACTTCCCAGTACATTAGCTGGTAACCACTTTAAGTTGGGTCGACCTGGGAGCCAAGTCAATTTTGATAAAACGATCCCCTCCGATTCGAATCCAGACCTTCAAGCCGACGGACGAGTGTCTAGCCACCGCACCACTACGGTGTCCTAGTGTATATTTAGTACAGAAAATTAGAGAGCACAATAGACAACACGGGAGCAACCAGAGTGGAGCGGCTAGACTCGCGCTTTCTGGTAGAACGGTTGTGGGCTCAGTTACTGAAGGAGCCGGAATTTTTACAAAATTAACCTCGACTCCCAACCTGAAAAAGGTATCAGGTAAAGTCATGGGAAGTAAAGGCGGTCGGCGTGATGTTGACCCCGTCATACACTGAGCACCGATTGGTCTATAAAATATGGGCCTACCCCTATGTGCTTAATGTGTTCTTTATAAGAGTCATCTACTTGCTTACTTTACAACAGATAACACGAAATTCAAAATGTGACACTAGTACCTGGTTGAAGAAATAGGTTCGAATCCTTCACCGATCAGCGAATTTGAAATCCATCACAAGCTAGGGTTCCATAAACCACATCGAAATCACAGTTTTATAAGTTGCACAAATAATTACACCTTGGTCGTTAAAAAAATCCATTAACGAACAGGTGAATATATATTAATAGTCAGTGAACCTATACGGACACGACACATAAATGCCTTCAATATAATATAACAATTACAACCAACCTAAACTCCGCTTTTATCTTGCGAGGAATGCAACATTCCTCTCCGCGTTTCACTTCTCAGATACACTCCTCCATTTCGCTGCCTTTATTATCCTCTTTGTTGAAGCTCCATAATAACAGGATTTTTTTTGTTCGCTTTATCACGTGCCCGACCAGGATGATGGACTCAAGGGTAGGGTGGAGGCAGGGGCGAGAGCTAAGAGCACCACTCCGACAGGAACAGATGGCAGAAATAGCCCCTAAAGTTGGCGACGATTGATTTTCTGTTTGTCTGCCCGTGTCCTAGAGAACCTTGAGAGCTAGATTTCTACCTGATACAGCCTTCTTCAGATGCGATAGCCTAGTGACTTGCACGGTTGTCTGTTGACATAGTAGATCAGGGTTCGAATCTTTCTCCAGGCTGGTTAAAACATATCTTATATTTGATGTTTAATGTTTACTTAAGAATTGATATCATATCCCTTTGGAGAGTTCCAAATCTGATGGCACCAGTAACTACGTGATTGTATATCTGTCTCACTCTTCCCCAGCTTGTTTGTCGTCGGCCAGATTTTTCAGTCACTCCTAGCAGCACCACCAGGACTACTAAAGCGACCAGATCTAAGGCGAGCAACAACAAAAGCTCTGGGAAGTGAAGGCGGTCGGTGCGATACTGGCCTGATCACCGCACTCATCAAGTTCCAGTTGGTCTGTACATACATCAGGCCTCAATGCTTGATATATTTCCTTGTTTTTGACATTCTCCCAGAGAACTGACGGTGCCTTATGCGATTAGTTGCGTGTACAACTACTTACCAGTTGTAACTGCTGCTTCCAACCATGACGAACTGAACTTCTGTTCTCGGTCTGTTTGTGTTGGTACTTCTGACAGCTGCCTTGTGCATTGAATTAGTGTTGTATACCCTATATGTTAATGTTCTCTTTCTTACTGCTCTGCCACATGTGTTAATAGCATGTTTCTTATTGCTCCACCCAACATGTTAACACATGATAATGGCCTGTTTCTTATATATTATTAGCAGTGTGTGCCGTGTCAATAATATTGTGGGATCATGATCTGCCACTTTGGTAATATCAACAAAGCCTCTGGATTTCATTATGTTACGGAAAAACAAACATTTGGCTCTTTCCTCAATGACGCGCAGTGCATAGATCAATATAAAAAGGAAGCTGGATGAGCAAGCGTTTAGCTCACACATAAAACTCTGTAAAGCAGAGCTTTCAAAACTGTTCATATTGGTTACATGCTTTTTTAGACAAGCATAATTTCGCGGCAGAGTAATTCACTTTGCTAGCTAACCAGATATGAACATAATTCTTGTTAGAGATATTGACATATTTATGCTGTAAGTTCACGCAGCGAACATTCACACTGCAGCCGAAACATGAATGCGCCTAGATACTAGAGCGGTACTTCGGGAACTCAAATCTGGAAAATCCCAGGTATTCGAAAATTACTCTCTGAAATGGGCAACCGGTGTAGGGGATACCATCCCACTGTGGAGTTCCCAGAAATGAAAGAACTGATAAGCTAGCTAAGGAAGGTGCAAATGAAGAACAACCTGACGTACCAGTTTCTTATCAACAGAAGAAGAGAATAATCAAATCAATCAGAAATCCACCACAACCGGCAAAAGACAATTACCATATGTTGGACAGACCAGAACAAGTCATTATTCTACGCCCTAGAACAGGTCACAATCAACTTCGCAGCCACATGTACAGAAAATTTAAGACTAGCGAATCAGCCATGTGTAGAAGTGGATTAGCAGCTGAGACAACAGGTCACATTCCCTAAGACTGTCCCACGTACAACATATCAAAGCGCAACTTTTAGCCACGAGAAACACCGGTGCAAGCCAAACTTTTAGAGTCACTTATTGAATTACAACAGACAGTGAAGTTCATACTAGAGACAACATTGCAGATATAATCTATTTCAAGCAAACGAAAGAAGAAGAAGAATTGTATTGCGACACACACGTTTTGACAGCT